CTCAAMGTTCATCTTATGTGTTGCGCTTATGTATGTACTCATTACCTATTAATATTATTAAAAAAATATGCGCCAGACACGGTAAGGRTATGAAAAGACTGTCTTCAGAAAGCTGGTACCTGCTGCAGTTGTAAGAGATTTGGTGCTGTATGTAGATATATTTTTTATACCTTAAGTGACATGTTTTTGGACAGTTTAAAATGTAATTTATATCCCTAAATGTATGTATCTTTTTCAGMCTTCTTTCGTATCTAATTTGCTCAAGTAATTGCCTTTGCTTGCTTCGATYAGTTGTTTTTGTTTATTTTGCCTGTTTGTTTTGTTCCTTTCTTTAGTTTGATCTCCTTTCGACTACATTCACTATCTATCTATTCATTTCGAAACTCAAGTTGTTCGTGTGCTACGTCCATAACTACCTATTGCGATGATATATTTTTAGCGTGTTATGATCTTTTTGTTTCAGGTTTTAATTTGTGTGTTTTCCACACTAATTTATCTAACAATGGTGTGTGCTTTTGTTGCAGGGACCAGAATTTCGTAAGTTCATCTTGACCAAGTTGATTAATGCTGAGAAAGCTGCTTTGAAAAGTGCTGAGTTTTCTCGATTAGCGGTATGTATCTTGCTGTTGGCGCGGTCTATATAAGTAATTTGTTCCTTCATTGGTGTTTTATTTATTTATTTATTCATTCGTTTATTTATTTGTTCAGTTATTCAMCCACCTATCCTTAGCGTGTTTAGCATTAAGAGACATGGTCAAATGCGGTCGTGTTGCATATTTTTCATGATATAGTATATGGAAAATGATAGGGAACTAGTGGTAAACTAGAGTGAAAAATGTTGAGAAAATGAGGTGACTTCAAATATCTATTCACAATCAATTTTCATCCGTCGGTTTTAAGTTCCAATCTTACAATATCCCCAGTCATAGAGCAAAAAGGGATAATAAAGAGTATAAGATTTTGCATATATTACGATGTATTGTTATCCCATTTTCAAGAATACTAGACAAAAGCTCGTATAAGGAATGCATGTTGACCAGAACTCTTTCACTTGCTTTTTCTTGGTCATTTTTTCATCCATCAATCCCGTCATTATTKCATTTTGTCTTCTCAAAGGACCGCACAAGATCGTCTTTGTTAAAGAACCTGTTTGAAGAGCTCCAGGATAAAAACGCTGCTATATTTGACATGGGAGTAGCAAACGAAGGAACGACCGTAAGCTTTGGACATCAGTACCGGGTTGTTCAGACCCCGATAAGTGTTAATCCAGGGATACCATACGTTTTTTAAGGTTTAACCCGAGGTTTGTTCGAGCTTCGAACAACCGGGCCCAGCAAATGAAAGTTTTTTGTCATGTTAATTCAACTCCCTCCTAATGCACTCAGTTGTTCGAAGGGTGAATTGACTATTCTTTAAATGTCTCGTTCCTAAGGATAGAAACACTCGTTATTGCGGATACTCAATTGGGGTGACCTACGTAGCACGCAGTTGATGTGATGTATTCATAAAATGTATTGTATTCCATTGTTTCTCGTTCTATTGTATTATGTGTTTTGTTTTGTATTATATCTTTATGAATATATTACATCAACTGAGTGCTACGTAGATTCTCCCATACTTCAATTACTGTTCCGAAGATGCCCGTTGTATCGAGGGTTGACTATATTATATACGCATAATTAACATTCACGAACTTTTGTCCGTTTTAACGAGTGTTGACTGTATGAGAATAAATAAAATGGAAATAATGGAAATTTGTATTGGTTAGAAAGGAGGTTATTGTGACCTAAAAGAGAATGTAAAAGAATAGATGAGAATATGTCTCTGTTTTGTTCTACAGGGAAATCAAAAAGGCTTATTKACATCACTTCGTAAAGTGATTCGTGGTCGAACTAGTCCAGTATCTAGATCAGCATCCCTGACCTCGACACGTTCAGCCGATGAGGTTGAGGCGACGGATGAAAACCAGAAAAGGGTACGCGGCTTAGGAGACTCTGCGATTTTATGTCCCTTGGTGTCAATTTTTAACTATTTTTAACTATTCTTAAATTTCAGAGTTTATTTATTGGTATTGTTTTTAGACTGACAGGGGAGTTATTAAGATTCTTTTTTTTATGTTTTGCAGCAAAAGGAACGGMGGAAATCAAGTCAGTCGTTTTTATCAAAGAAGAAAAGCCCAAAGGAAATTAAACGGTTAGTTAGTTGTTTATTTTTTAGTTTTCCTACCTAGTCACTTTCTCCTATTCGCGAGGTGGTTGATGGGAAGAACTTTGAGAATTGCATCATGGGAAGAAAGGATGCAGTGTGAAGTTCAGCATCGTCACTCATATTTCATGATATTGATACCAAAAAACTTGATTATAGTGATTTACCTTGTCTTCTGCATTAATTATAATCTAGCGAGTCGAATCGAGATTGTATTGTCTTTTAATTTCTCTTGTTCATTATCTAACTGTAGAACTGGCAGCACTAGAAGTAAGAGCATGGAATCACTGGAWAGYGATCGCTTGCAAACGCMAAACAGTGGTGCTTCAACGTTCTTCRTCGGGCACAGCCCAAGAACTTCAAGAGCTAGCACTATAACAGACACCAAAACCAGTCAAAATGATAGTGATTCCCCGAAAGATTATTTAATCGCAAAACCGCTTAATTCCCCAGAAGGAGAAAGGCTCGGATTTTACCGAGCGTCATCGACTCCACTTCTAGATCCGAAATCATATAGTAAGAACTCCCCGAGTCCACGAACACAACACGAAAGTTCGCCGAAGTCTGGTGTTCGGTACATCGGAGGGTACTCGAGTAATAACGACAGTGAACCACCAAGAGAACAAAGCCCAGTTAAAATTATAAATTACGAGAGGTCGCCGAGTTCYTCACGAAAATCTTCCGACCCTTTCCAAATCATTCGGCCGGARSCTCGTCACGCCGAAGRTTTTCAGGAAAATGAGGAACGGTYAAGGAATTTGGACTATACTGGAGAGTACGAGAAGGAACTTATGTATTTACCTCAACAGCTACAACAAGTTACTCAACAAATTCATCAACAGCAYAAGTTATCGCCAAATACAAACCCGAACAGTCGAGAATACAACACAGCTTTATTACTAAGTTATCGTAGATCTCGAGAGGACCTTTTAGATAATAATTCACCCAWCCGATCACCTTCCGAATCTCCGAATCTTTTCCGAAAAGCTTCCGACCCGATGTATAATCGACGTGCTTCCTCGCCGATATCAAGTCCAGTGTTGTTAAGGCAGAAAAAGACTGCTGTAGTGTCGCCTTTATTGGATGTCAAATCTTCTGATCCTCCCAGGCCTCGCTCGGTCCCTCCTGGACTATTGATGTTTGATCCTACKGACCCTGAGTCCGAGGGTTATCAGCAGGTAAGTAAAGCCATTTTAAATATGGTTTTAGGGTATRTTGTCAGTCATGAGATCGAAAAACCAAGAATAGTCAGTAACACGCAGCGACGCCATCTTTAGAGCAAAGCATGATGGTAGATGTAGTTCTCAAAAATAAAAAAATAATAATTTTTCCCGTAATTATTTTTCTATGCGTGAASCTTCCGTCCACTACATTAAATGAAAAGTCCTGATACTTAATTTTTGTATCTCGAGCGTGTATACGAAAAAAAGATGTACACCTAATTACACAAACGTTGTCCAAGAAAAAAGAACTTTTGCTATTTAGGAATTAATTAAAATACAAAAGAAAGTGTTCGGCTTCAGTGGTCATGTTTTGTCTTTAAATTTATTCCTAATTTCCTAAATCCCTAAATCTCAGGACAACGTTTTCGTCATTAGGTGTACACCTAATTGAAAAAACGTAGTCGTGTTCGAAAAGGYCGCATCATAGAAGCTAAGACCGAAAGGGATTTTAATGAGTACCACTAAATTGGGATTACATCTGCATATACGATGTATACTAGGCAAGTAGAGCTAGTAAGATTAACAGCATGATAGTCTTTTAWGCTGGAGAGCTGTTTGTTATGAAATTAGCAAAATTGTTTGTCTTCCCAAGTACCCTTTCGGTCTTAGCTTCTATGATTTGACCTTTTTGGACCCGACAACGTTTCTTCAATTAGGTGTATACGAAAAAAGCTATATATAWTTATGGGTAKGTTTTGAAATTTAGAAGTTGAGCGCTTGCTCGGTTGGTTATTATTCGATCGATGGACYGTTTATGTTCTGTGTTGTTACAGGTACTGGAGCAAACTTTGTCCGTATCGAATACATCTCGTCATGGTAGTGGTCGCTCACTCAGTGATAGAGACGAAGAATTAGGTATTTTCTTCTTAACAGCTATGTCCAAATCAGTTTTGTTGTTGTTGATGTTGTTTTGTTATTCCTGTTATTCTTGATTTGAAAAAGACAACAACAAACAAAAGCAACAAAACAAAATATAAAAAAAAATTTAACACTTAAAATTTCCTTTTAGAAAATCTTAGAAAACAAGTCGAATCATTGACAAATGATAACGTTCGTCTCAAAAGCGAGAAAATGGACATAGAGAGACAATTAGTGGTAAGTAGCGGCTTATATGATTCGGTCCATCGATTAGGCCTGGCCTTCTTCTCGGTCTTCTCTTTTTGGTCTTCCTTTGTGTATAGTTTCGAAAGGCGATTTCKTCTTGATCGTTTTTCTCCATTCCCATGAGATTCAGAAGATATAAGACCGGCGGCCATGTTGGAGGAATGAACAATAGATACTAATGAAAAATACTTTGTTGAAGATCCTCCAAAATGGCCGCTGTGACGTAACTTGAAAACGAATGAATGCTTTTATTATATACATGCATTAGAGCCCTTTTTTCCCATTTCATTCTAATCCATCTCACCCTATTCTGTTCTTTTCAGTTCTCATTGTGCATATAGTATTGCATTCTGTTTCATTCTGATTCAAATTTAAACCATTCTCTTCTACTTGTAGCTCGTTGAACGTGAATACAAAGAAGCTGAGGACCAGAATTTACACCAAACAGTTGAACTCTACGAAGCACGCTGCGAAATTGCTCGYCTGCGATCATTACTACCTAGCGAGAATGTTCGTCCTGAGAAAGTCACCGAAAGAACAATGACACGGCATACTCGGTTGTGAAAACTCCATAGTTCCTTATAATTCTTTCCGAAAAAAGCATGAAATACACTTTTATTTATAGTGGAATTATTTGAAAAATGTTGCATTATTTTAACTGTTCGTACGGTAATTTTTATGCTTTCTTAATCAAARAATGGTTATTGAACATTATTATATTATTTTTTTAATTGTATTTTTTGTTGTTGCTAATTTAATGTTGAGAAATTGAATCGAAATTGGGCTTTCGTGGTTGATGTACCTTGAAACACCGTTTTAGGGACGCCGGCCTGTTTAATTCGATGACCTCTTCATAACGGCCAGATTTTGTTATGGGAAGGTTTTGCACATGCATTCGGTGGCCGGATTAAATAAGGTTCCAGTGTAGTAAAAGCATGTTTGCATGAGTATGAATCTCAGAAACCAGGTTGTCAARGACGCCATTCTGCACAAAGCATGTTGGGAACTTTTTCATCTTTGTCTTGCGAAAAACGAAAATCTTATGGACATTTACCCCACTTTTAAAAAAGAGTTATTTGCCATACCTTTATATAAAAAAATAAAGAATAACACGTTATCATCACAAATTAGTGGTGGTATATTATAAATCATTTTTTCAATAATTATAATGAATTTTCGTATCATTAACTTGCTTAACCATTAAATTTTCGTATCGTTAACTTGCTTAACCATAGTTAACCCCAGTTAACTATGGCTTGACGTACAAATGGTAGAATATCGGCGTCATCTATTCTTGGGGTTTTAGTTTCTGAGTAGTAGGTTGAGTCTACATGCCAGAGGCAGTTGATAAAGGCCTTAGTGGTTGCTGTGTAGGCTGGAATAGGATGAGAAATTAAGAATTACGACCAGTAACTTTGGTAGCTTTCATCACTGCCCTGACAAAATACTTCTAATGTTTGGGTTCCCTGTGTTCTCGCTTATGGGTTTCCTGTGTTATGAAACGTGCATTTGTGTCAAAAACATGGTGGAATTKGAGTGAGCTTCGGTTTTTCTTGTTTTCTTAAGCAATACGTAGTTAAATCGAACAAATATAGTTAAAGGTAAGCTGTTGCTTGTAATTTAGTCGGGAGGCAGAATTTAAGGGTTCTCAGCGCAAGAAAATTATGATTATTTTCGAAGTAGAGCTAGTTGAGACAGTAGATCGAGCATGCTCGTAATAAAGCTATTTGCTATTTCTTTCGGTTCTTTCGTATTAAAAATAATGAATTAGATATATTTTTATCATCGGAATAGGTAAAGAATATACTATGTAATATCACAGCCTCTACATTCATATTAAACGCTGTTTTTTTCATACCATTTTAGAAGCCAAATTTGATATGGATTCGAAAGCMAACATGCCCAACATGGCGGGCGTGCGTTATATGTATCCTCAACTACCCTCGCAGAACACTGAAAACAATAGCGAAACGAACCCAATTCCACTTATTGGTCCACAATATCCTATCCCACAACCCACCAAGACGCCAGTTAGTGAATTAATGGAGTTATCCATGCGAATGGGAATCGAGGCAAAGTTTGAGACAAATGAACTCCCTGGACCTAGTCACTTGAAGGAGTTTGTTATGACCTGCACTGTTGGGAGTATTACTGGGCAGGGCAAGGAGCATAATAAGAAAAAAGCCAAGCAAGCTGCTGCTGCTGATACACTTAAGAAGCTAAAAGAATCTGATTTATATAAAAATCATTTATTTGTAAGTTTTAGGTTATTCAGAACATCTGTTTATAGTTCTTTGATTAGATGCAAGCTTAGAAAACAGGCAAAGCCAATGTTTCACTTCTTGCTTGTGTCTTATCTCAAACCTTATATATACATGTAGCTACTCCAAAAATGGTTGTTGGATAAAATGATGAATGTCAATGGTTGAACGGCGATTGCATGACCAAAAGTAGCCATGGGTTTTGCTAGTTGAAAGGCAATAACAACTGATTTGTACTATAAGATGGTCTGTGCTTAACAATGGCTCCATTTAGTCTCCGTTACTATGCAAGGTGTATCAAATATGTGAAATTTTGTTTATCAAAACAGTGTAACAAAAGTCCCTTTCTGTCGTGCATTCTCCCTCCAACAATCGCCGTTCGCCGTTCACCGTTCTCCCCGACAACGTTTTTTGAAATAGCTGTATATATAGACCCCTTGCAGTTCATGGGAATGCAGCTGCAACTGGAGGACAAAACAATGGATTCTAGTTCCCAAGAGGATAAAAAACAGATGAAGCTGTTTTGACGTCACATGCAAGGGGTCTATATGTGTCAGAGGACAGAGTGTATTCTATTTAATTGTTCTGCCTATTCAAGTACATGCAACACACTTAGTACACACTCAGGCAATTTTGCATCRCATGGTAGACTGTCCACCAATGAGAGCAGTGGAATGTTTGCTATTGAATTTTATTGCTTGGTTGTCCATCATCCAATCATTATGCCATTTAATATGCATTTTCCACTCTCTCAATAAACCCAGGGGTTTCAATAAAAGCCAGCAGCCAGCAAACTCCAGCGTCAATTTAGACATTTGAGCCGGCTACTTTTGCTAAGACATGTTTAAATTTTACCTTTTAAAAACTTTCATATTCTACCATAATATTTCCAAAATGTTTACATTTTTCATCAATTTCAATTTCTTTGCTTCAAGAATTTCAATGTGATATAAAAATTCAGCACTAGCTGTCTGCCATCTTGAAACGAGTAGAGTGAGACTGGTGACAAATCTCCCTTCATTTCATTCTGTAGTGTCAGCTACTTTTACAACTTGGCCACTTCATGCAAATTTATTGAAAGCCCTGAAAACTTATTTGAAATTTCTGTTAAATATGTTGATTATTCATGAGAGAAATCTATGTCCTTACTAATGTTGTTGACATCGATCAGAACAAATTAAAGGGACACTGTCAATGGCACGYATGCGCGAGTAAACTTGAAAACACCAGGCTAGTGTTTTCAAGTTTATGACTCCAAGTTGGCGYGACATAAATCAGATYGTAAACGTAAACAGATCTAGAATATTCCAAAGTGTGTCAAAAGCACCACAAAATGATTTACCTCAAAGGTTATACTTTCAAAGTCCGTTAGAGGTGAGACTGTTACTGCGCATGTCATCCATTGACAGTGTCCCTTTAAGACTATAATCTTGATTCTTCTTACAGAACAGAAGTTCAAAGGCAGCCTTGTCTTCTCATAACAACACTGTTGGAAGACTTCAAGAGGCAACAGCAAAGAAAGGTCTCCAAGCTCCAGAATACGAATTCGAACCCCCAGTCGGTCCTCCMCATCAAAGACAATTCTCAACAAAAGTSCATGTGGGAACATTAACAGCAAAYGGCACTGGACGCTCCAAGAAGGAAGCAAAGCGATCTGCTGCGGCCGCAATGCTGGATAATATGGACTGCAGCAATTTGTCATTGCATGTTCCTGCAAAGAAAATTGCTTTTAACCCTGCCTCAAGCCCTATTGATCCCAAACCAATTTTATTCTGTAAGGCYGGGACACTGGGGACCTAATCCAGTTAGATATTTAAGCCCTTTGGGTRGACTGTGTGTACATAGTAGATATGGTGCCACATACTTTTCGTTGTTTTCTGCATAGTAGGGACATGGGGACACATTCCTTGTGGTACTAAATGACTTCTGGTGCATGCTGTTCAGCAGGGGCTTGAAGTTATACACCAGGCCCCTTGATTCTTAATCCTCTTATAAATAGATAGGGGGGACATCAAGGGACATCATTGATGTGGTCCCCCAAACAACATGCTTCTTAATCCTCTTATTACTAGGTAGGGGGAACATCAAGGGACATCATGGATATGGTCCCAAAACACCATGATTTTTAAGYCTCTTTTGCATGTAGATTCATCCTGCAATCATCCTTATCCTAAGTTCTACTGTCCACATGAGTTAGTCCACATTGTAAACAATTTTGGACTGGGAATGAGTTTTTTTTTTCATTGTTCTTATTAAGAAATGAACCACAGAACAAGAAACTACCGATCATAATTAGAAATTAGAAGCTTTACTTAGTTTGTGTTAACGGCAGCTGAACTGCATTTTTTTATAAATGTTACTATGTTAAATTACAACGAAATGTAGTCGGCTGTCCATCCACAGGAGCATGCGCAGGGGTTGTTCCAGGGTATACTGAACATCCCTTCCTTAATTAACAGACGAAAGAGACCACGCTATAACTTATATATACTTTCCTTAAATGTTAAAATTTACAACGAAATGCACGGTTTGAGTAGATGGCTTTCCACCTATAGAGGCGTGCGCAGAGGTGTTTCCAGGGTTTACAGAACACACCTTCCTTGGCAAAGGAAAGCTTTGAAATAYGTGACTGTATCATGCCAAATCAATAGGCTTGCGCATTTTTGTATAGTCAAACACTTCGCTTAGTTTCGACGCTAAAACTATACTTAAATCCAGGACAAGCTGACCGTTTTATGTAGAATAGGATGAATGAGATACTGATTATATTCATTCTAGTTGATATTCAACATCGAATAGAATAGGAGATTACATAGAGCAATATTTCGGTTTTATTGCAAAACCATCACCAGGCTAATAGTTTACAAAAGTGCAAAGACAATAGAGTGCTCGCACTTAAAGCGTGAAACAAATAGTAATAATTGCTAATAAATAGTGTTGATTATACAATAGGAAACAAAGGAATTTGTATAATTTATCACCTATTTTGTAGTATTTATATTTCACGCATTTAGTGCGAGCACTCTACAATATATACTAGATAGATGAATTAATTAAACAAAGTTAATTCTCTAGAGGCGCGGAGGCCAGTGTTTAAGGATGGTTTGTTTCGTTTGATGAAAAATGCTTCTTTATATAGTAGAAAAAAAACTATAATTGTCACAGTCTTGAAACTGCACAGCAAAGCTGGAACCTCTTACTCATTTAGACCTCAAACTATTCATTATATATATTATTATTTCAAAAAGTTGCAGTATACCTGGAGATTTGAAAAAGAATATCAAACTCGCATAACGTAGTAATTGTTATGTGGTCTTACTTTTTTTGTTTGGCTCAAGTTTTTAATTCGATTATAAAGTCATACCCAGTACTCCACTCTTTTCCGTAACGTCCATTAAGTCGTGACGTGAAATGTTATAGTCCACGGAAACTAACTACTGTTAACTACTTGTAGTATCGTTTCAGAGTTTGCAACTCCTTTATGGCTAGGGCGATATTTTAAAACTTACAGAGCAGGTTCTTCAATACAAAACCCRGTGCTCGAGATTCTAATATTGAATATCATTTAATAAAGAAAACTAAACTCTGTTATCTAAATTGAAAAGTGAGCTTTTTGAACCAAGTGATTAAACGCATAAACGATCTATCAAACTATCAGTAAAGACGGGAGACGGAGATACGTATCAGTAACGTAAACGTAACTGTCCGAAACTTAACGGTCTGGCTTAACGTAAACGTACGTAATTTATAAGCATATATTATAAGCAATTCGAAAACATTCATTTCTAATTCAACAAATCCCAAGCTTTATTTGAAATTTAGTCAGTCCATCCCTCCCCTCACGTCCTCTTCTCCACTTTTCAGGTTCAGTTCATTCCGCGCTCTTACTCGTGGTTACCATGGCGATGTTTACGRGACCGTGCCACGTTGGTACCCGCAGTCAATACTTTGACTTCTAAATAATAATGTGGCGGCCATAATGGTTAAATATCGTTTAACTTGAACCGATATCCGACTCAGAAATAGACTCAATTTGTAGGGATGAACTAAAAAAGGTATTTACTTATATATCACTAAAGTCCGAACTTAATAATAATGTAATGTAGAATAATGTACRCAACTTGACGTGAATATACATCGATTCTTAACCCACGGATTGTATTATATAATTATTGAAACCAGCTTCACTAGAGCTGAACTTTTATAGACTGGTTTATTTTCCTTGGAGAAAAGATTGCTTAAATCTATCGTGAAGAGTTCGTCATCTTTCAATTTCAGCAACTGGGATCTTCCGTCTGACTACTGCGGGTATCAAMTGCAGTTTCCAGATCAAGCAGTCTTAGTTCAAAAGCGTCTCCAATAATTTATTCTTTTATTCTGAGCAAAAACCACAGTATTGTAATGCAAGAGACAATTGATTTTTATGCGCGATCGAATCTGAGCCTATCGTAGAAGGGGACTTCAGAACTGGACTAGCGGTGCGCAATCGAATAACCAAAGTCACACCAATGAATTTTCACCAGTTTTATTTTGTCTATTCTTTCTTATTGAAACTTAAAGGTAATAATCCAGAAGTTTGTAGAAGCGCTGCATAACTTTTCACAGTTTAAATTCAGTGAAAACCCTAATAATAAGCATCTACGTACAACTCGAAGTTCTGAGAAGTTTTGTTAAGGCTGCTTTACACGATTGTCGCGCGTACGACTTGACAAGTCGTAGGATTTTAAGCAATGGTTCAAAATCCTACTAGAAGTCGTAGGTTGCGTACGACTGTTGTAGACAAGTCGTAGGGGCATTTACACTGCGCGATTCAATCATCGTGCCGTGTAAATCAGCCTTTTACTGGACTTTGGGTTTGGAAAACTCGAAACAGTTTTTTTTCGAAATTGCAATTATATGGCGAAGTTTTATAAATTTGATTACAAAATTTTATCATTAGAAAAAATTTGCATGTAAATTRTATTTCCGAAATACCCCTGTCGCAATCACGTCATGCATAGCTAGACTCTATATCAAAATAAATGTTCTTTGCCTTTTTATATACTTATTTCAAAAAAAGTTTGTCGGATAAATGGTGAATGGCAATTGTCAAACGGCGATTGCACGACCGAACACTGTCGAAAGGAGCCATGGGTTTTGCTAATGGATGGGGAATAATAATTGATTTTTACCGAAAGATATTCTATGGTCATCATGGCTTTGTTTAGTCTCCATTTTCACGCAAGTAAACCAAACAATTGAATTTTTCATGTATGTTAAACATTGTAACCATAGTCCCTTTTGGCCGTGCATTCTCCATTCGACAATCGTCGTTCTCCCCGACAACGTTTTTTTTGAAATAATTAACAATTAGACCTCGAAGTCGAGTGGACTTACGAGCWAATAGCCCATGAGGCCGAGTCCGCGAGGCGGAATGGGCTATTAGCCCGTAGTCCACGAGGCCGAGAGGTCTAATTGTTTTAGTATAAACATACTAATCGGTCAAATAATGAAAAAAAATTGAAATATCCTAAAAATGATTCATTAATGAGATTGATTTTCCCGCGAGTGGTCTATCACAAATTAGACCATTAGTAGAGTAGCCAATCACAGCGCAGTATGAGTGATAGACCATTAATATGTTTATACTAATTGTACTTAGTTGCAGAAAATCATCAAGATCGATGCGAAGAACTTGAAATTTTTAASTTGATCAGCAGCAATACATTTTGAGGCAAGTTGCAGTTTTTGTTATTGCTCCAATTCATTTAAGAATACTAACTGGACTTTTATATATAATATCAAAGAGGCAAGATTTTGCTGTAACTCCGAGTTTCGTGCTACGCACTCATCAGAAATACTGTCTGATGAGTGCGTAGCACGAAACTCGGAGTTACAGCAAAATCTTGCCTCTTTGATATTATATATATAACTAGCTCTAAACTTTATGTGTATTGAGCACTCTTTAATGGGATCAGCTACTTCCTCATACAATTAACTGGACTTTTATAAATGCTTGTGTAGAAAATAAATTATAGTCACTTCGACATTACCTTAACAGCTGTTTTTTGGATTGATAAACATATTTCAGACGCGTGGAACAAAAATAAAGGACGCGGATTAAAAGATCTKCATGTGACTAAATTAAATTTAAAAGAAAGATAACCAAATGAATTTCAATATATAGCTAGGCACGTGTGGACAGGAAAGGATCAAAAAAAGACTTTAAAAACCTTATTGAATATGAAGTTAGAGCCATTACTTGGCGACCAAAAGACTGCCGGATCAGCAGAATTCATTATTATTCAAACGCAAAAAGATATGAGATAGTCAATTCACAAGAAATCTCAATACATCAAAATATCACGAGTTTTCTTCACTGTRTCATTTCAGGAGTAATGAATCTCTCACTYCGGCACACAGCGGTTCAAGGGGAACTTATAACACTGCCTGCAAAAGGCCCTGTMACCATTCATCAAAGGGCTCTCTGTTGTTTCTGGTTAAGTGCCCTGGTACTATATATCTTCAAGTTGGTCGACAGAGTCTTTCACTTCGGGTTTAAGCATCGTAARCAAGGTGTGTATTGTGTCGCGGSAAAATGCACTATACGATTGCGAGGACAGCTCATACTGAATGCTTACAGTTCAGAAGTTTTGGTGTTTCGCGCTTTTTTGCGAACAGTAGGCATTACGTTAGTTTTAGACAGTGTCTTACAGCATGTGAATAACTTATTCAATGTCTACAATGGAATTTGCATGAATTACAGTTTGAATGATAGCAAAAATCCGCCGGTTTTCGTGAAAAGTCACAACCACAGTTTCTCAGTAAAATAGCGAATTTATAAAAAAACTCAAAATTCAGTGAGACTTGTTTTCCGCGCACTGTTACACGTGCTTTAGTCTCTTATGAGTGTCTTTGGATAACTATTCTTTCTTTCTTTTTTATTAACTAGATATTAACGAAGAGCTCAAGACGGTCATTATAGATGAATCTAAGCCAAATGGGATCATTAATAGCAGTGACACCCGTGACGATCAACCCAAGACTAATATCACACAAAACCAAGACCAAACAACCACCAGGCGTCCTCAAAATCAGCCTCCCGAAATCACCTTCGACAAGTTCCTCGAATCAGTTGCTATACTGGGCTCAATTATGTTTTATTTCTTCATCTGCGACTACGATCATTACTTTCCAGCGGCRCCTCGAGTTTACTCACGTGATCTCTTTATATTTCTCATGCTCATGTTGGTTCTGATTGGTGCATTCTTTACATCACGTGAGTGCCCTGATAAGCTGTTRAGTAGAGARCAGACTGAGGAGTGGAAGGGCATCATGCAAGTGATGTTTGTGTGGTATCACTATTTTAGAGCTTCAGAGACTTATAATGCGATCAGAGTTTTTATTGCTGCCTATGTCTGGATGACGGGTTTTGGTAAGTATTTATAGACAATACATGCATCAGTACATCGGAAAACAATGCGTCCGCCATCTTGAAAAGTGAGACCCGAATCACTATGTTGTGCCTTAGAACACAATACGTAGTTGCTACGTCAAGTAATCTATCATTATATCGTATTATATTGACTTGACATTAGCTGAGAAGCTTTTAAATCCTTTAGGAGTTATAATTTAGTGATTTGAGTCCCACTCTTTCAAAATTGCGGACGCATTGTTGTCCGAAACTCCTCATGCATGCATATTGTTTTTTTTTTTCCACCGCTGCTTTAGTTTACAACAGTAGAGGATCTCGTGTGCGCTGAGACCTAGTACCAAAAACAAAAGAAAGAACGAAAAGCCTGTATTTCCCAGATGGCTTGAACTCTAGGTCTTGTGGGATTGCAGGCTTAGACTCAAAGTTTTCGACTTTTATCCTACACGAGTTTGTAAGGTTTCCTTGTGATTGGAGTAACATAMCAATACTAATRMACTTCTGAACCTTTTACGTCACTACTTGATTTTCAATGCATTGTGGGATCAGTTTCAAGAGAAAACAAAAGAAATCCGCCATGTTTTGTCCCAAACATATCCTACAATGCATTGCGTATACGGTACATGACGTAAAAGCTGCAGAGGTCTATTGTTTCCTCCTTCTTAAATACTATTGTTTGATAAGAGTATTGTTGGATAAGAGCCTGCAAWACCGTGAACGGCTACCCCACATCGGAGAAGATTTTTAAAATTTCTAGATCTATTGAAATCTCAACATTTTTTAGTGTTTAGTGTTCTCTATACGTGAGTCTGTTGTGTACTAATTAAAAAAGGCGGTCGCTCGCGTTGAACGGGAGAAAGGGTTTAAGCATCACGTTTACGGCAAACGGTTAAMGGCAGAGCTGAACCAATGACCTAAGAATTCCGTGTCCGACMTTGTGCTTTTGGTAGATATTTGAAAGAGCGACTTTTCACGATTATGGCAAACTCAAAATRGCCGGCACTTTCGCGTTGAAACTGTAACGGTAAACCCCCAAAAAGCAGGTCACGTGATCTTTTCTGCTGKTTGCCGTKAACGYCATGCTTAAGCTCTCTATATTGTTGCTTCAAACCCCCTCAGTGGTACTGAAACTCACATCCTTTCTTATCTTTCTACCAGGAAACTTTTCCTTTTTTTGGGTTCGCAGTGATTTTAGTTTATACCGTGTCATGAAGATGATGTTCCGGTTAAATTTTCTTGTCTTGATCACGTGCCTGGTAACAGCCAATGAATACATGCTTTACTACATCTGCGCAATGCACGCCTTTTGGTTTGTATCCGTATATGTGTGCATGAGACCGCTGCATAAAAGAAACACAGACCCAAAAGTTATGGCCCTCAAGTTCGCCTTGTATTTTGGAGTGGTATTTTTGTTGTTCGATGTTCCTTCTGTTGGAGAATTAGCATTTAAACCTTTGRGATTTATATTGAATTACAAGAATTCYCTCCACGAGTGGATGTTCAGAGCTGGGCTTGATCATTACGCGACTTTTTTGGGGATGHTAGTGGCTTATTTCCACCCAAACTTGGAAAATCTTTTGGCTTACGCAGAAAGTCCTAAACATTCTTCCAAAGTGCGCTATGCTTACAAAATYATAAAGGTTATAATTATAGTTTGTTTTCTAGCGCTTTTGCTGTCTTGGGTCAAACATGTGTTTGTTTTAGACAAGTACAGTTATAATGCTCTACATCCATATTTTGCCTTCATTCCCCTACTTACCTAYATATGCCTTCGTAACCTGTATCCCTCCCTGCGCACTAGATATATACATCTGTTTTCGTGGCTTGGTAAAATTACCTTAGAGACGTACATCGCTCAGCTTCATATTTTAATGCAGGGGAATGCTAAATATTTGATAGTATATATCAATGGTTATCCGCTTCTAAATTTCACAATCGCAACAATAATTTATTTATTTATGTCCTATAACTTATTTCATGTTACAGTAGACCTTAGCGCGTATCTTATTAATAAGGATTTTATTGTTATGGGTCGTAAGGGGTTGGTTGGAGTGGTGTGGTTAGGTGTGTGTTATGCAATAGCTTCTGTATTATAGATATATAATANAAGCATACACTAAAGTGATCCATTACTATGATGTGTGGCATGTAGCCAAAGGTAAAAATCATTATTAGCAATCTCAAGACAACAACAGTCAGTATAAACTGTTTCGATTTTGCTTTATCTACATTGTAGGTTTAAAGAAAAAGCTTGTTTCCCTTTCCAATAAGAAAGGTTTTGAACTGGTTGGAAAGTGGGTAAAAAGCATTACAAACCATTTGTACTGGGTAGCAAAATCAAGGTCAGTTGAAGAGGTTATAATGTGACTGTGGTGATGCAAAAAGTAACAACATTTTTCATCCTTAGAATTTAAGTAAAGTATTTTGTAGAACATCAAATCTTCTTGAAATATGTATCAAACCCAAACTTGTAATGAAAGAATGATTGTTTTTTGCTATTGTGATTTTATTGTTTATAGGTTGCACAGTTTAAAATGACTTTCTTATATTACCAAAATCCTGATTAAAAAAATTAAAATTAGCTAGAATTACAACTGTGGCTGTATCTTGAAATGTTTATGCTCAACCCATGAAAAAAAACCTATATCTGCTTATCACAGCAATGGAGATGGAGACTTAGCTACAGCCAAGTGGGATTCCCTTATGAGTCATCTACAGAACATCCACAAACATCAAAACACAAAGTTTAAAAAATGTACACATAAAAAGATTAAAAGACAGTGGTTTAAACCAGGTATTTACTAACAAAAAAATACTAAACTTTTTTGGGTTACATTGAAATATACTTGCATGTTGTTCATTCATCTGAATGGTTTCTTGCTTTTAGGTGCTGAAGACACAGTTAAACTATCTGAAATTATTGAAAGCACTAGAATGCGAAACAAGGTGGCCAAATTGTCTCCACTGGGGCAAACATCCTCACTAGAAGGGTATCACAGTATTGTAAATCAGTTTTGTCCGAAAATGATCCATTTCTCATACAACGTTATGTATGCAAGGTAATAAAAAATTTGGATTTTTTGGCTACATTTTATGATTATTTGTATTTATATATCTTTGACACAACAGTTTGCTCAAACATATCATTCATAATAGCCTGTGTACAGACCAAAATTTTGGTCTGTACACAGGATACATTCATAAATGTTGTTCTTTACTTTTAAGATAATAAAATCACACACTTTCATAAAATGTAACTAACCTTTTAGTAGTAAAAACATGTTTCCTTCCTTTTAGAATTAGACTGGCTGCTCTTCACTTCAATGAAAACACTGGACGGCCAACTAAAAGAAATAAGGAAGGGCATGAAGAGTACTCTATTAAGTTCCCTAAAGCTAAGAAAGGTGGCCATACTGTGGTTGCTATACCAATAAATTGTACTTATGGTAAGTAGACTTTAATAGAATATTAGTGTTCCTTTGTTTCCTTATTAACGCTATTTAGTAGCAATTGGCACCTTTTTTCACTGTACATCCACTCTAGCTTTTTCACATATAAATAATTTCACAGATGTATTGTTACAAAAACACATAAGTGTCATGCTATAAGATAAATAGCAGTGCATACATGTATACTTACTTATAATTAATGCATGTTTTCTCTTTGAAGCCTATGTTGAAAATGCATTTGAGGAACTCTTTTCTGTACTTGGAAAAAATAGTGACGAGCAAGATCTCAATAATGTCCCACCAGAGCCAATGTGCAGTAAGATGAGCAGACCAGTAAAGGAAGAAGCGGTTAAGGCACATACAACACGATACTGATAGCATCTTACCAGAAATAAAGTCATCAGTAACTTAATATAGTTTATGCACTGAAATTTCTGTCTAATATAAGCTTAAATGTGTTCCTCAGTTACTTGCACTGGTTAGATTTCTTTGTATTTCAGTGTATTGTTTAGCTGCTACTCCATTGTTTTGATCTTTTCTTATTGTTGACATAAGGCTATTACTCGTCAGAGAAATGAAATCCTTCAAATGTAAAATTTTCCTCTAATCCTGGAGGGGGGAAGTGTGCTCGAATACATGAAACAACACACGCCGGCAAAACTACACGGATATTTCGTCCCAACCATCCCCAACACCATCTGACAAACTGCCTGTAGGCTATATGCCGCAAACGTTTGTGTTCAGGCCCATCATATCCACCAAATTGCTGTCGGTATGCAAACCATGCAGTTTCCAACACGTCTGAATCGGTGCAAACAACAAGGAAAGCTGGATTTAGAGTAATACACTCAGGAACAGAAATATTACGCTTAATAGAAGACGAACTATTTTTTCTTACAACATTGTCGATTTCTTTGCAGCAAACGCATTCTCTTTCTGTATCCTGTCGTTGACAGTGGCCGCCACATTCACACCAGTCGTCGTTCATTGTTCTCAACTCGACTTCAACATCGCTGTCTTCATTGTCGGAATTAGAACCAGAAATTGACCCTTCGGGCTCGAACATATATGGATGGACTCCTTCAATAGCCTCTCCCTCTTCCTCCCCGCTTTCGTATTCAATAATCATAGAGCCACTCGAACTACTCGAAATACTACTTGACCTGTCAGCCATTTTGGAAAACTATCCGAGCGCGTGTTCCACCCGTGACGTCACATCCGGTATGGCGGGTTCACCGAGCGAATTTCGTGATGACAAGTTTTCGGCTTCTCATTTTCTTAGTTTAAAAGATTTTTCTTTAATTTTTTTTGCAATGTAGCACTTATTTACAAGGTAAGGAACATTTAAATAGGGTATTTTACAGAAAGTTTTTGGGGTTCGGTCTATGGCGCTTGGACTTTAACAGCAGATTTTCTTAGAGTGCACGTCACATAAGCATGAAACAATTCTTAACTATGTAGTGCTAAATAAGATTTAGTTATCAACTAACTAAGAATTCAACAAGCATGAAGACAATGCCAATTATTTAAATTCCTTTGTAGCATTGTTCTCAATTCTTAGTTAGTTGATAACTAAATCTTATTTAGCACTACATAGTTAAGAATTGTTTCATGCTTATGTGACTTGCACTCTACGCAAAGATCTTACCAAACACAAAAGAATGCACGAGAAAATGTTGTAAGTACAATAGCGCTTACAATTTACATTTCCCCCGAGTTAAGGCTAACCCAGTGTATTCCAAAAAGGCCTAGACCTTAGGTCTTGGTGTCTTGAGGGTTAGTCTCCACATTGGGAAAAATGCAATTTTTCAAGGMAATTGTAATAAAGAGATTTCATTGTGCTTTCTCTTCGTTTGTGTTTGGAAAGGTCTTTGCGCAAGAGAATATGTTGTCAAATAAAGCAGGGTTTGTTCGCTTTGAATTAGAAAATAGAGTATTAGGGTGGATTTCATAAACTAACGAAATACCATTAGCGTAATGCACTTTACAGTTATTATTGTTATTTGTGAAAACAACGTAAAAAATAAGCACAAGAACTGCGCATGTGGACATAGATTTTGCACAAATTTCGTCGATGATTGCTGCAAATATGTCCCGCTCAACGTTTTCAACCATTCCCATGAGGTTCAAAAGATAAAAGACCGGCGGTTATGCTGGAGGAATGAACAATAGATACCAATGAAAAATCATTTGTTGAAGTTCCTCCAAGATGGCCGCCGTGACGAAGAATTGTGGTGTCATTGATTCTCCATTATTGTATTCAATAAAAAAAAAGAATTCCAAAATATACCAGGCTTTAATCTTTACAAACATAGCTGCTTTGTGATCAATATATATAAATATATTTACATAAAGTGCAAATAAAATATAAAAAATACTTAAAGTATCATTCTAACRCAGGTAAAAGAAGAAATAAAAAAATCTAAACTATACAATTTTCAGCTAACCGATGTGCATTCTGTACGATATTTACTTGAGAAGTCGATAATACACAAGAGTTTGTAAATAATATGTAAATAGATTATAAATTCATATTACAGACCAAATGTCCTTTTACAAAGTTTGTGAATTTTATGTACATTCTATAAACATCCTGTAAACTTTGCTCGATCAAACATTGAAAATATCTTGTAGAATAAATTTACGATGTTTGCAAAAAGGACATTKTGCTTGTAAATTGGATGATTTACAATACATTTACAGGCTCTGTAATTGATCAACTTTCCCATTGATCCAGAAATCGTTTGCTAAAAGGAATCACATGCAAATGAGTTCAATGTTTTCGATGTTTCGTACAAAACATTTCACAGCTATATTCACGGCAAAGGACATAGAATACTGCATTGGACTATTATTGAGGAAGTTCAAGATTCGAAAGCGATCTGCGCGCCAGGCCATGGTCAACCAGCATGTCCTTAGAGCTTTTGTTTATGTTTAAAAATAAAAATACTTCGAATATCAGCAAAAAATTATTCTAGAATATCTTCTTTAGTTATGCTCTAAAAATTGAAATAGTAAGACTCTATCTTAAAGTCGACGAAAGGAAACGGTTCCGAATACTAGAAATATTAAGTAATAACTCATTAAATCTATTCAACGATCGCATTGAATGCCGGTTAATGATGATCCTTTATGTGCAATCTAATCACTATCTTCCACCATAGAAAGYTTTATAATCGGGAAAAGATATAGGTTCGGTTTGTTTCATAAGCCATGGCAAAACGTGTTTCTTTTCTTGAGATATCAGCTCAGCACCAATGACTTCTCTTGTTTTGCTGTGATAGTCATTAAGCCACTTAATCTGCAAAAGGAACAACGACCAAATAGGATCAGTACATCTATAGGGACCTCACTATCATTACTTAGCACCACGRGACGGGAGGGACAGAGGGGTCCAAATTAGGATCAGTAGCTTTATAGGGGACCTCAGTATCATTTTACMMCACGGGAGAGACAGGGGATTTGCCAATTCATGATACAWCATCAAGAAGTCGGCGAATTGAATTATTCTTGGCCCCAAACAAAGCGGAAAATAGACTTCAACTCATYTAAAACATATGCATAAAAACACATTGATAAATTCAAAATTGTACTAATGTTAATTTTAAGCATATTAGATAGAGGATATAGATTTACCTGTGCTGGTCGTAATAAGTTTGTATTCATAAGTTTGCGTTGGAAAGGTACCTGGAAAAAGTCATAAAAGGAACTTTTTCACTCGTTTATCTTTGTATATTGTATACAAGGAGCACAGGGCTGACTTACGAAAATAATTGGTTCAAACTTGAGATACTCATTCTTGTTAAAGGTAAACTGCAAAGAAAATGAGAAATTCACGACWTTCAAAAATGGCGCGATACGTCACGGTCGCCGACCAGGGAACTAAAACGAGGTCTCAAAGGTTAGCTTCCGAAGGTGTCTTACAAGAGTGTTTTGTCATAGATAGCATACCAATACATCTTTCAAARCGATCTTCATAGTGATTTTTAGATGTAAGGCCTTTGAGGTCTCGTTTCCATGATTCGTCACTAGTCCCCCGATATTGGCGGTCGTGAACTACAGCTGTACCATAAATTTTGAATGTAATGGGAAACGATAGTTCAATTTAAAATGCTGAAGGTCTGAGATATGTTTCACAATTAAAGTAAATGTTTGCTGACCTTAGTGTTTGCYGACTCCACAAGAACTGCTGTTTCAAGTCGCACTCCGAAATTTCCATCTTCATAATAGCCGGGTTCTAATAGACAAAAATAAAAATATAACGTTTATTATGATCAAGTGCAAAGCAATAGGAATAATTGCCAGTGRCAATACAGTAAAGATCATGAGTACCGTCAGAGAGAATCATTCCCTTCGTAAGACGCTTTTCTTCGTCTAATGGAAATCCAGGTGAGATGCATTGAGGCCCTGGAAACGAAAAATATTAAAATGATCATGAGTGTCGTTAGCATTACACTGACAAAATGCAGCGGCAATCATCGTTGAACGCAGAATGCATAGGAATGTGTTAGTTACTGGAATTCTGAAGAGCATTGTTGAGCAAAAGATTCCTGATTCGTTTGAATCGTCGTGGAAATCAGGAAAGCACGTACCTTCGTGAACATTTAAAAAGTGGCCAATTCCATGGCCTGTGCCRTGCCTGTAATCCAGCCCCACTCTCCATAGAGGCTCTCTTGCGAACACATCTAGTGTACGACCTGTCGATGGAAAATTAAAATGAACCTTTTTTTGGATATTAATTTAAAAAATATAAGGTTGGCTGCAAATATATTTAAGGGTAAGGCGAATTAATAGCTTTTCTTCAGATCAAATCATGTGATCCATTGAAAAAAATTGACCATTTCAACACGAAACAAATGCCAAAGGACAAAAATTTGAAGAGTCTGTGACCATCAAACTCCTTGAGGAGTTTGATTTCCGTAGTGTGACAGGTTCACTTCGAACACTAAGTTTATAGTACGTACAAAAGACCCTTTGGACAGTAAAATCAGTGCGATAACATACTTTGAAATAAGAAATAAATGTATGATGTCAAGGAGATGCAATAAATACAACTTATTCGATCAGCACCATTGAAGATACACGATAAAAACTAGCTTGTTCTAATGGTTGAATACAGGATAAAAGCACTAATGGCGACCTCGTGGGCTTGCTGGACGCAAGGCACCACGGGAATCCGCAGGGACTCCAATTCTATACTGTTACAGTAGCATTCACTCAGCTTCATCTAACAGGCATTTGTACCATAGTTGGATACRCTCTTTTGCTTTTATAATAATGCTGAACAGTTACTTACCAAAAGTGTCATTGGGGAATACAGCCATAGCGATATCAAGATGACCCATCAAAACTCTAGTAAAGCAATCCTGAAAAATATAGCAGCGATTTCAATGTGATGAAATGATGTATGTTAACACTGGGGTCTCGGCATACTGATTGCTTATACAGCTTTTGTATATCTACCATTGGATTAGAAATGACAGCACAAATCAAGTAAGTGGCTGATTGCATTCGAGCAGGTTTCATAGTTGCTTCGAAGAGGTCGACAAAACTTATCCAATTGATCTATTGTAGAGCAAACGCAGGAAAACCATGAAAATAAAATCAAGCTAAATACTAACTAACAAATAGCGGCTATTTAGAGACATTTTGTCAATATCAATGAACCAGAACACAATATGAAGATGAATCCACATGAGACCATTCTTCATTCATCTTTATTGCGCTCTGGTTCATTGAAACTGACAATTTGTCTCTCTAAATAGGCGCTATTTGTTAGTATTTTGTTTGGTTTTATTTCATGGTCCTGCATTTGTTCTAACGGCCTCAATGCTTACTATTTCATGTTGGCTTGGTGAGCCAAAATGAACTGTCCTGGTTGTGTCAGTAGTACCATCCCTAAAAGTAAAAGTCGGAGCCATCAGCTATTTGGTCGATAAAGGTATGTCTATTGATGTATTATTCGTTTAAGAAGTGATATCATACTGTAGGCATCATCTGCTAGAGAGTAGCCTGAACATCAAAGGACGCCATCTGTACTCTATAAATGGAAACTTTACTTACTTATATTGTCCACCTGTRTCCAGCAAGTAAAATCCTTCATCTGTGATCTGAACATCAGTAAAATTGGTGGTTCTAGTGCATGAAAATAAACATAAAAGATTTCACCTTTTTTATGTAACATCCAGGGACCGCGGAGCGTGAATTTGTTTTTTTTTGGGGGGGGAGGTAGCGCCGAGGAGGTACTAGGGGGATTTGGAAATTTTTGAAATCTTAACTCTCGGAAATGTCATTTCCAGCGTTTTTAGGCGTTATCAAAGACATTTTTTACCGCACACACGGTCAGCGATATTATCAATAAATCCCATTCGCAAAAAAGCTTCAATATTAATTGTTCACGCTCAGTTTTTACACAATTTTTATAGAATATATACAGTGGTGGAATTTTATAAGAAGGCTCTTCGCTTCTTAACAAGTTAACAATGTCGGAAAAATTATGCTCTGCGGTCTATGATATCGTTTCTGTTAAAATGCTAGATCTCTTTTTAACTATTATATCTTATGGTAGCGCACTATTTCATATGTTTTGCGCGAAGACGTGATGGCGCAGTAGTGACGATGCCTTGATTTTGCAAGCGGCAGCATTTTGTGTTCAAGCAAATATCTTACACACGAGTGATGACGCTTCTGTAAACAGTTTTGGGGAAAAAGCACAGAGGAGTGTATGCCAATAACTAAAGGGTTTACAAGCTAGAAATAAAGCATTTCAAGGCTTACTTATAGTGTATAATGGCACTGTTTCGTCCAAATCCAGAGATTGTTGCAAAACTGGGACTTATGTAGTTTTCCTGGGTTCTGAGTACATTGAGAAAACATCAAAAGATTGAAATACGAGAATGGAAACAACAATATCGAGATAAAACAAATGGAATGGAAAGTCTAGAGATAATCTTAAAGGGTCGTAGTCAGTGTAGCCTGATTTTCAGACAGGGCCTGGGTCCTGCGCTTCACTCCAACCCCCACTGTGGGGTGGAATGAAGCGTAGG